GTGTGAAAAGCAGCAGGGGAATCGGTCTCCGTGGGTTTTTTGTTTGTTTGTTTGTTTTGTTTTTAATTGATACACAGAAGGCCTTTTAGCAGGTCGATTCCCAAACACCAAAGTCTCTTATCTGAACTAGAAGTTGTCTTAAGGAACCATGACCTAAGCAAACACAATCATAAGAATTCCAGGTTTGCCAGAAATGTCTTACGACCGAGGCTATGCTAGGTTCTGACATTCCCAACAAAGAGCAACCCCATAAATCTCAGATAAACAATCACTGATTATTTACAAGAGATTCTTTCAAGGCCTAAGTGGCCATCACTACAGAGTAAATACCAGGTGCAATGACCCTTTTAATATTCCACCACAGGTAATAATGAACAAAATATGCAAGTAAAGTTACAGAAGACCTCCAGTTGGTCATTGTCCTTGGAAAGAAATTAAAGTTTAGTTCCTCGGTATTATTATTCTACACGTTTGTGTGGTAGCCAACTCATTAACATAAGCTTCATATCACAATCCTTTAGAAGCTATTTTTTTTTTCAAAACCACCTATCTTTTGATACTGGTTAAAATATTAAGACCACTCCACGTAGTTAAAAGGGAGGTTTATTTTGTGGGGTGACTCACAAGTGAAGGGATAGGTTACAGGGTCTGGGAAAGGTGTAGCGCAGTCCGGCGGTGTTCTCTGGAGAACTCTGCCTGGTCTACCTCCAGCGTCCAGGGTCCAGGAACCAAGAGAGCCAGCCCATCCAGATCTCAGGTCTTCAGGGGTCCTCTCTCGGCTCTGCCTTGTAGGCGTGACAGTTACTGAAGCCTCAGTGGGGGTGGTACTGCCAGGTCAAAGCTGGATTGGCTACCCACTACATCTCCCCCTGTTGTCTAAATAAGAAGGTTCTAACCTAATACAAAACTATATACAAAGGAATAGTTATCAAATATTGTCCAGGAGTAATTAATGAGGGATAATGACCTAGACAAGAAGGAACTACAACCAATGGGAACAATATCAAGCAAGAGACACGTACTAAAATCCAGAGAAGTCTAGAGCGTAGGTAAATGGCATGTTACAAAGATCATTCCAAAAGGTGTCCTATCCTAAAGAACCTAAATCTAATACTTAATATGTTCTATCTAAGATATTATATATATACTAAGTTGTAACTATAACTCCTAGTCTTCAATCCCATCAAAGACCTGAGAAGGAACATAATGGTACCTGAGAAATGGAAGATGGATGTAAGCAACTTTCGGGAGTCTTGCAAGAGTAGACCAAGACAGCTGGCAGCCTGGACAGTCACCTAATGTTTCTCAGCATTGTTGGTGCATTCAAATTGGCTACAGACCATTTTCAGAAGCAGGATTTCTGAAAGACCATCTTACCCTGTCTTGGCAGAGTTCAGAAGTCACTTTTCCTTGTGTCCTGCTTGTCCAGAAGGATAGCATTTGTATTGTCAGTAATTGAGGCAAGAGCAGTTCTTTGCCCAATAGGCCATTTTGTGCCAAGAAGACAAACTTCCAAATGGAAATGTCTTAGAAGCCCAACATTCTCTCAGGATCAAATTGGTGCTGCCAGGAGCAATTGTGTCTCATGTCAACAGAATTCTAAGTTATTTAAATGCCATATTCTCCAGGTCCATGAAGTGTTTGAAGATTACCTGTCTATCTGACCTATGTATCTGTAAATCTGGATAACCTAACTAACATAACTATAGAGATGACAAGCATAGGTGACTATAAATCTATAAGTCTTATCTACCTAAGTAACCTAAGGACTAAGGCTTCATGTAAACAAGGTAAACAGGCTATAAGTAAATGTACAGTAAAGGATGATGACTTCAAAATTGTGATAATACACAACATATTTATAACAGAGGTAGGAATGTATAGTGCAATATGACAATAATCTTAAATATATATCAATATACGGAATATCCTAAACAGAAGTAGAACATACATACAGTATGACAGATATAAATTTACATTTGTATCAATATACAATTGTTTCAAATAAGAGTAGAAATATATGTACATTATAACAAATATAGTTCTGTATTTGTATCAATATACAAATTATCTTAAACAGGAATATAAAAGTAGTTTACATTTGTATCAACATATAAGAATCCATAACAGTGCAAATTATCTAAGGAGGATATTTTACTAAATTTGTTTACTAGTATATACAATAATCTACCATAATATCTTATACCTATCCATTCCACTTCTTTCCCTTTTTTTTTTTTGTTTTTTGAGACACTTTTTCTTTTCTTAAGGAGAATACTGAGTCTAATATTTTCTTCTACCCCCCCCACCCTATAACTATCATCCATAACCCTGAGAAATATGAAACCTTAGGGAGAAAGGGCGTCATTTTCTTAGAATTGCTTCCTGCTGTTTAGGGGGTAATGGTATCTCTGTTGGGTACTGTAAGAAAGCTCAGATAGTTAAATCTCAGTTAGACTAACTGTTGATTCTGCAGCAAGTCTCAGAGTAATGGGTAAGAGTGTCTGAAATTCTGGCAAGAAGTGTAGTATGATGATGATTACCATGGCATCATTCTGGATTGGGTAGAGAGAGTTGTTGTTGGGGCCCCATCTTCCTTCTGGAGACTTCCGAGATTGTTATTGGAAAAACTTATTTTTTATCAAAATGGAAAGTTTGGATTTAAAGAGGACATGACAGAAAGGATTCCGAGAAATCAAGAGCAAGCATGGAGAGAATTAGAATCTTGAAGACAATGGTCCCTTTTATTGGTTTCCTTCTGTCCCACATCAGAGGGCTCTTCTGATACAGGACTGAAGAATCTCTCAACCTTTTCTTTTATTAATAAAAGAAGGAGTGAGCCAATTCCATCTCCAAAGCCAGCTTGGTTTATAATTGAATTGGAACCACAACTTTTCTAGATTGAAAGAGATATAGATGTTAGGCAGTGAGATTTTACCCTGTGTAGATTGGTACCAATAGATTCTTTCTGCTGTAGACATCTGGATATCCAAGGCCTTATGATTTCTGGAAGATGGGTATTTCCATTATCCTGGAAAGACAAAAACAAAACCCTACCCCAACCTTTGATTGTTAAAATTTCCTTACAACTTGTAGAGATGTCACATTGGTGGATGAGCTTCTTTTACCTCTGGGATTTGTCTCTCCTATCCAAGCCTCATTACTATAGTTAAGAGACTCAACACCATTAGTATACTGAATCTATTCTTCTAAAGGAGCTGATCTGATCTTTAATGGTGTAAGTATTCTTCTGCATTCTGCATTAGCATTGTCGAATGCCAAGGACTCAGTTAATACTTTTTTTAATTCTTTATCTGACACAGCTTTTGTTATAGCTGTGTTCAACCTTTGTGAAAAATCAGTGAAGGGTTCATGCGGTCCCTGAAATATCTTTGTGTACACCTCAGTTGGCTTTCCTGGTTCTGGAACTTTCCCCCAAGCATTTATAGCTGCTGTACAGCATAGGGATATTTTAGGCCCATCATAAGTGGCTTGTACATTCCTATCAGCGAAACATCCCTAACCAAGAATTTGATCTTGGGAAATCTCAAAACCTCTGAGTTTACCTTGTTGTTCTAAATTTCTTGCCTCTTATCTCAACCAGCTTTTCCACTGTGACTGCTGGCTATATTCTAGAACAGCTGAAATTAACTGATGCCAGTCATCTGGAATGATTCTATGTGAGGTAGACCACGAATTTAAGATCTGTCTTACGTATGTGGAGTGTATCCCATACGTAACTATCACTTCCTTTATATTTTTAAAGTCCCTTGTTGAAATTGGTTGTAATGTATATGTCATATATGGCTCAGGGTGTGTGTCATCTGCTGGCTTCTCATGGATGATGACAGGATAAGGCATTGTATGAGAGCCATTTGGAGATGTTACAACCTGTATGGTCTTGCCTTTCTGCTTATTAGATCCCTTGTCATGTTTACTGAGAGTTTCCTCCAGGGCTTGCAAACGAGCACCTAGGGTCTGTTCTAGGGAGTGAACCTCCTCTCTTGCAAGGGATTCCAGATTTCTCATGGAATCATGGAACTTTTTATGTTCTTTTGAAACATGATTCCATAGACCTTATCTTATCAATTAATGATAATCTTTCTTCCTTATATAGTGTCTGAGTAGTTACAACTTCACTCTGGAGAATTATTGTTCTATCCATTATATATTTATATTTATTATCAATAAGATCAATTTTGGGTACAAGCCTGTTTTGTAAATCCTGGTAAGCAGATTTCAGAGAGAGAATCTTTTTCTGTAAGCCTTCATTGCTATCTTTTAAAGCCTGTATCAGTCCCAGTAATGACTCATCCTTGCTATTATTATTAAACCAGTATTTGAACACTGTGTGAATTATTACGATGAATGCCAAAATGGTACAGGCCAGATACGCTTTAGGGAGGTCGTATAGTTCCAGGAAAATGTCATTAATCATACAGGCAAAAAGGTTTTTAAATTCTTGTGAGGTAATGTTGTCGGCCATATTACTAGAATTACTCAAAATTTGTTAGTCAGTTTTAAGGTGTAAAATTATCGGGGGCTGGAGAGATGGCTCAGAGGTTAAGAACACTGACTGCTCTTCCAGAGGTCCTGAGTTCAATTCCCAGCAACCACATGGTGGCTCACAACCATCTGTAATGAGATCTGGTGCCCTCTTCTGGCCTGCAGTCATGTATGCTGTATACATAATAAATAAATAAATCTTAAAAAAAAAAAATCAAGTACTTTTACTTGAAATAAGACTCTGGTTAGCCTATCTTACCTTTCCATGGTTCCGAGGGGTGTAGTAGCGCGCTTCAGCCAGCAGGAGGCGCTGGTATAGCACCAACACAGGTCCTGTTGAATGCCTTGGCTGGCCACAGAGTGAGCACAGGCAGGAGGCGGCGGTGGGCAGTTCTTCCTGTGACTCCCTGGAGCTGCAGGGCGTGGAGAGTTCCAGGCC